CCGATGGTCCAATTTTTGGTAGGATAAAGAGGTTGAGAAAGGGAGATCGGGGCCAGACTATGATAGTCGTAAGCCGGGGTAAGCTTGGTGCTATCTCTTTATTTTCTTTGCTTTTATTATTTTCTTATGAAGAATTGTGATTGAGAGAAGTATTGTTGAAACTCTGATTAGAATATTTTGGAATATGACTTTGGACTGACCGTTTTGGAGAAAATCTGTGACCTTGAGAATTGAGATTATCGAATTGTGTTGTGTTAAGTGAAGATATTGAATTCTGTGTGATGAATTGAAAAACTGAATATAATAAGTAAGCTGGAGATCAGTAATTGAATATATATATAAAGCGCAAAGAGAGTAAGTGGGAGATGAACTGATAAGAATATGGAAGTATTGTTGAATTGATATTTGTAGAATGGATTATGGATTGAATTAAGATGGAAGTAGTAAGCCTTGGTGTTTTGTAGTTTGATAATTGATTTCAGATAGTTAGAGTACAGTCAATTGTGACACTAACAAACCCAATTCATATAACTAATCTTTCCCTGTGTTTGAATCCACCTCTATTAGTTCATTTGCTTTGGTATATTGAAGCTTGAACACAACGAGAACAACAGGAATATTAATTATATTTTGATAAAGTTCAAAATATGGCAAATCATATTTGCTCCACACTTTGATCTTTATTCTCTTTGAAGGTAGTTAATAGGTTCTTGCATTTATCAATAATTTTTCAAACAAAGTCAAGATAACTACCTTCATATTTGATCATAATTAAGGCTCTTATAACTTCTTTCAAGTAAAACATTAGAAATTCTATCAAAAGTTGTTTCTAGCTTGAATAATATCAACAAACATGAAGAGTATTTTCTAAGGTTGTAATATCAAACATATTATGTCTTGCCATTTATTTAAAAAATAATATGTTATTCTTGAAAGTCTTTATTTTTGTTATACCATCTTTAAGGTTGTAGCAACGTCAATGAATTGTCTAATAATTTAAAAAACAATAACTCTCAAATGAATTTGTTGGTTGTTGATTCTCTATTACAATCATAAAGAAACTAAAAACATGGATAAAAGATAGAATAAATTCTTCATTAAACTTATTTTTCTTTTTAGCAAAGCATAACTTGATTTTTTATTTTATTTTTAATTAAAATTTTTGATAAAAAAACACAAGTCTTTTTTGTTGCATTTATAAGATTCTTAAATAGCTTCTACATATATTTATTAATATTATATTCATACTAATGTAGAAGAAATTTAAACCTATTTTGGCACTCTTTTAAATCTAATGTCTCTTCTACTATAAACTTTTGATTATTGCAAATTTCTATAAGATGAAGTAGCAATTGTCTCCTTTCCAATGTTTTGTGGTAATATTGCTATTGGATAAATATATATATATATATATATATATATATATATATATAGAAGATCTTATTTTAAAATATAGTTATAAATTATCTTGTAAATAAATATAATAGATAAGCAAGTAATAAAATTAATAAGTTCTAATATAGCCTGTTTGTAAAAAAAATTTCTACTTACTTTGTAGGGCCATAAACATGACAAAAAAAGCTAGATTAGCAAAAATAATACTATATAAATCTTTAGATATAAGTAATGAGTAGAAATCTTTAAAAAATTACTTAGATAAATTTTAGATTGATATCTATAGAGAGCTGGTTATCAACTAGGGTTGAAATCAAATCCTAAGATAAAAAACTACATGCTATATATATATATATATACATATATAAAAATTTTAAAGTTTTTTTTAAGCTATTCTAAAAATGATAATAATCTTATCTATATCATTTTTTTTAATTATTCCAAAATTAAATTTGAATACTTTTATATATATATATATATATATATATATATATATATCCATAGCAAAAATTTATTTATATATTTAGTAAGATATATTTTTTTATTGGCTATAAATAATCATAGTGATAAATAATACATACTATATCTATATAGATTGAAAGATGTTAATGATATTTTAGGCATTTGAAAGTTAATTTTTGATATGTTTTTAATATTATATTATAAATATAATTCATTTCTATAAACTTCTATTTATTTTGTTTTGGAACATATGGATAGTAAGTTCTCTTTAGCTAATAATAATGTATAAAGTCTAAAAGTGTCTTTTCTTGATATAAAGACTTTTCTAATTAAATATATAATAAATTATAGTATTATATCTTAGCTTTAGTCAAATATCTATCTTATAATTTATAAACACTAAAAATATATTATTTTTAGATTATAAATATGATATCTAATTACATTCAATTTTCAATGATAGAATCTTAAAATATTTAATGGACTTCTTAAATTGATTTCTTTAAAGTAGTTCCATTGAATTAAACTTCATATTTGAATGGCTTTTAGATATATTATATTTTTTTTATTGGCCTATCTATAGTAATCAATTTTTTTGCTTGTGTGCAATCAAATAAGATTTTATAATTATTCTTTTTTAAGTGCAATAAGAGTCTATCTTGCATGCTACAAAGGAATTGGTTGGCCTTGTTTGGCATTTTTTAAAGTGCAATTAGAGCCCAACATTTATGCCATGGAGAAATTGATGTAGTTATCTTGGCATATTATATAGCTACTTGTTGTGAAACTACTTAAGAAAAAAATTAAATGGTTCTCATCAAGTAGGTAGTTGTATTTTTAGGCCTCATTAATCTTGTGCTTGAATTGATTACAGCCTTGAAAGGATTGACAATTGAAAGGACTAACGGCACCATGATTGCAAATATGATTGATTCTTGAAGGAACTTGCATAAGAGAAATGTGACTTGCTCTTTGGATTTTTCATTCTTAAAGAAGTTTTCATAGATCAAGGATGTTTACAATGAAGGAGCAAAAGCACCGGCCTATTTCACTACAATTTTGGCAAGCATGGAATTGAAAATGGCCAAATATTTGAAGGAAACAAAGTTCTTTCATCTTCATATCAAATGCATGCTTGAGCTCCTTCTACATTAACTTGCGTTGAATTGGGTTGTAACATGATATTGTCCAAGAGTGCTTTGAACAATAACAAATTTTGGACAATTACACTGATTACTTGTTCTTTCACAATCTTCATAAGTACCAAGACATCTATATTGTAAAAGATTTTAAAATGTGCAAGTAGCTACTAATCCTACGTTGATAAATACATCTTGCTAAGGTATTTTATTTGTAGGCTATTATAGTACTTATGTGAATGATATGATGATTACAATATATAAGATGATAACTTAAAATACCTTGACAAGAACTAATTGCTTTGATTATGTACTAGACTATATAGCTAGAATTGTTAATAATGATGGCCCTTGAGGAGTCTAAACTACTCGATGACTTTTTGGATTTGTGGTTGAAAATTCAAGCCAAAAGATGAATTACATAGGTGTGTACATTGACTTTGGTGTTGGAATTGTGATTTTTATTATAATAATTTTTTGTGGATTAATCTTCTTTGTTAAGGAGGACTACAAAGAAAGTGCCATAAATTGTGAATTTGTGACTCAAAACAACAATATGTTGCAATCCAATGTTATAATTCTATTATGGTTCAAATGAGCCAATATTAGATCCACTACTCAAAATTTCTTACATTGTTGTCTCTTAGGTAAGAATAACTATGGGAGCATGTATAAAGCTTCATTCAAAGATAGCTGCATTGTGGCTATACAACAATTCAAGAACTACACATTTAATGGAGATCATAGATTTTTAAACAAAGTAGAAGTACTAATCAAATTAAATTACATGATTCTTGTCAATCTCTACGACTATTTTATTGCAAGCAACTGAGATTGGGTCCCACTTGTACTTTAAAAAGTGTTGAAGATGACTCATTAATTTCTCCGTAGCATGTAAGTTGGACCTCAATTGTACTTAAAAAAAATAATTGTGATATCTTATAAGGTTGAAGGATAGATTTGCTATTATCACAAATACAAGGATATTCTTGATATTTCAACATATTTTAGGAATATTTGTGATATTTTTCCTTATTTTTATTTAGTATTTTTTATTTCCAAAGAAAAATGCATATGAATTTATATTTATATCTTATCTTTAGTAAAGCTAGGAGATTCTTATGGAATGTGTATCTACATATTTTCAAGAAAGTATAAGATTCTATCTAAAGCAACATATTCTTTGATTGTAATATTTAATCTTTAAAATTATCACCAAAATTTAGATTAGAAATAATTTAATTTTCTCAATACTTTTTGAGTATTAAAATAGTTTGCTATTTATCTTATTAGAAAAAAATGATCATGCTAATTTTTTTTCTTTTTTTAAGGATTTTTATTATTTAAACTACTATGGATTAGATGCTAATGTTTTTTTAAAATAAATCTAAAATCATTTAAAAAAATTATAATCTATTAATCTATAAAATATATATATGTCTAATCCTTGCACATTATATAATCTAAACATTATTTTAGAGTATTTAACAACAATAAAAAAATAAAAAAATAAATCATCTTTTAAGGCATCAATTCAATACAATTATATGTTAATTTGGATAATGAATTAATTACCACTTTTCTACTAAATACTCCTAACTTCTTTCTATGACACAAAATCAATCTTCATTCATTTTCTGCTAGTTTACAAACTCCACCTTATTAAATCTTTGCGGGTTTCTCAAGTGCAATCCTGTACATTAGTTCTTAGGATCTTAAATACTACAATCTTGACCATTGTTTAATTCTAATATGGTACTAAAGCTATTTGATACAAAAAATGATTTGTTGGATATAAGAAATTCTATCTTAGTTTAATTTCATTCTCTTATCCAATTCTTCCACTCATTTTACACAAATATCCCATTTTTACTCACTCACTGTGTGGAAAATAACTTCACCTTTAAAACAGCATTTTCTCATACATTCACATCCTTCACCAAGCTCTTTGTGTGTATGACTGGCTTGTGCAAAAGGCATCACATTTACATGCACTAGCTTCACAATTATTAAGCTTTTGCGGTATTGTTTGAATAGGTGCTGCACTGGATTCGGACAGTGTGTTCGCTGGTAAAACAATGGGAGGTGGTGGGAGGCGGCAGTTTCGTTGTTTTTTGTGTCTTTGGTTGAGTGTTGTATTGTACTCGCAAGCAAATTGCGTGAGTGACTTCGGTACCCGAAACTTCCTATCCGAAATTAACTAATACTGAATGCCGGCGTTGACAGTACCTGAAACCTGACATGCGATACTTAAGTGTGTGTGTGTGTGGGTGTGTTTTTGGGAAGTTGGGCACTAAATCTAGCGATGTAGTTTGTGAGCTGATGGTTGTGTGAGGGATGTGAGGAATTTGGGGGCGGAGTGTGTGAGTGAATGAGGAGGTTTCGGTGAGTTGTGAGGAGGTGTGGATGAAGGATTTTGGTAAGAAGCGGGTGGATTTGGAGGAGATCAGAGAGCGATGGCTGGCTGTTTTTGGAACTGGGGTGCGTGCTTGCTGGCGATTTCGAGCTTGACGACCTGCATTAGCGGGGCGAGAGGAGAATCCTTGCAACTTGGCGGAATTGAAGCTGGGTGCCGTCAAAATGTTCTCCTCCGAAGCGATTTTCCAGACGGTTTTCTGTTCGGAGCCTCCAGTTCTGCATTTCAGGTGTAGATCCCTGCACCTTGGGCGCTTTCGAACACGGATTTGCGCACTAAGTGTTTTCTCACTTCAGACTTGATTGAGAAAATCTGGCTGGGAGACGGTGTTATTTTATTGTCAGAATCGCTAATTATCGGTTTCTATATTATTTTGGCAATGAGACGAATTACAGAAACAAATTGCATCTGGGTAGGCTTTGCAAGCACACGCCATTTTAAGCAATACCCTTTTACACGCCGAATTGGGTTGTTTCGCTCTAAGAAGTGGTTGCCTGAAGTTGTCTCCTCTAGCAGTTCAAGATGAACCTCCACACTGTTGAATAATCTCTTCTAATTCATCTCCGCAAGTATAATTCGACCAGTGTATTGACAGATCTGCGTACTAATGTGACTGACTGTAAGCGGGATCCCTGCAGGTTGAGGGAGCCGTAGCAGAGGGAGGACGAGGTCCCAGTGTGTGGGACACTATGAGCCATACACCAGGTTCGCTTCCTCTCGCAAAGGCTTTCTACGAAGGATCACCCACCGAATTCTTCAAGGCATTCTTGTGATTGCACCGTATTCCAGTTGGAATGTTTGGAGACTGCAGTGTAGATGCTCGAATAGCACGGTGTGGACGATTTACACTCTCTTCAGGGATTTTTGTACAGGAATGATTGCCGACAACTCCACAGGGGATGAGGTTTCCGATCAGTATCACCATTACTTGGTCAGTCAATACATCTTCTCGAATCTCTCTAGTATTCTATTCCTTACCTTTTGAATCTGCTATGGCATTGTAAGTAATTGTAACAGGTTCATTAACTCGAACATGGATCATTATAGGAGGACGTGGAGCTCATGGCTGACATGGGTTTAGATGCTTACCGTTTCTCCATATCGTGGTCAAGAATATTTCCAGGTTTGTCGACACACCATGAGCAGGAATCGACTTGTTTTTCTTTTACAAGTTCTTGTGATCCATGATCTCATCGTTGGAACTAATAAATAAATAAATAAATAAATCCATGGAACTAATTTCTGAGGACAAAATGATTGATCCGTATTTCAGGAGGAAGAGTGAGAGTGAGTCCTGAGGGTGTGGCCTACTACAACCGCTTAATTGATGCTCTTCTAGCCCGAGGTACACTCAGACTTAGACAACTGTGATGCGTGAAAGTGCAACGGTATATATATATATATATATATATATATATATGTACTTCGTTTTGAAACGAGCGCAAGTCTTCTTACATTTGCATATCGGCTTTGCTCTGCACACAGGAATACAACCATGGGTAACGCTTTACCATTTTGATTTGCCTCAAGCACTTCAAGACACGCTTGGCGGCTGGTTAAACCCTGAAATTGTGTAAGCCCGGAAAGCTTTCTTAATGTAAAAAATAAAAATAAAAAATAAAAACTTTTGTTGGTTTTCGTTAGTTCACTTCGTCTTGTTTAATGGCTTCAAGGGCTTGTGCAGGTCTCCCTTCGCAGAGTATGCGGAGCTGTGCTTCACGGCGTTTGGTGACCGCGTCAAGCACTGGGTCACATTCAACGAGATTCACCACGTTGCATTTGTATTCCCTAACGTGGGCTGCCGCTCTACGTCTGGGGTGTGTGGTGATGTTAACAGTCAGTCTTACATCATTGGACACCACATGATTCTGTCACATGCCAAAGCCGTGAATATCTATCGCACCAAATTTCAGGTTGCCCTCCCTTCCATTCTAGCAAAGCAAACATCGCAGAAAAGCATGGTTTGGATGTTTACAGAATCACGGCAAAGCCGGTGTTCTCTTAAATTGACGTGGCAGTGAACTCATGCAGAAGCGTCATCTGGGCTCCATTGGAATCATAATCGACGTCCAATGGTACGAGCCCATCTCTGATTTACAAGAGGACATTGACGCAGCAGAGCGGATGATGACTTTTCAAATGGAGTGGTAAGAGGCAAAAAGATTATTTCCATTCTGTCTCACTTGTTTTGAGGTTAACAATCAACGAGCATATGTTCTAACAGCAGTTCACTCACAGGATCATGGACCCAGTTGTGCACGGATGTTACCCTGCACTTATGCGCGACCTAATTCAGGATCGTCTTCCAAGCTTCACCGAAGACGAGGCCACAGCCTTGAAAGGCTCTTTTGACTTCATTGGACTTAACCATTACACTGCCCATTACGTAAAGAGCGACCCGAATGGACCTCTTTTCTCGCGCTATGGTGTCGAGACGCACGACGCCCAAGTCGCCATTTTCAGTATGTTCATCCCTTTTCTTTTAGTCAGCCTCCGATTTTGAGCCTGTTGGTTTTAGTGCTTCGATTTCACCTTGTGGTTTACATTGCTCTGACATGTCCATATTCAGTCTCGGGTCAATCAAGGTTGACACCCATAATCAATCATCTCGAGGGGGTATGTACTGGCAGATTCGAAGAAGGGCGTCCCCATTGGACCGGATGCAGGGTCGGCATGGCTGCAAATTGTGCCATGGGGCATAGAGAAAGTACTGGAGCGGTTCAAAGTTTTGTACAACAACCCCCTCATCTTCATTACAGAAAACGGTACGATTCTACAACCTTCGAGGCTTCATGTCTGTTTTTACAAAATTGGGTTTCTTCTTATTATTATCAAACCTGGACAACAGAAGGGATTCAATCCTCTAGAAGCTGAACGGTAGGGCACTTGTAGGTGTGGATGAGGCCGAGGACCCTGGTGTGTCACTGGGAAGTATGCTGCAAGATCGCGTCCGCGTCCAGTTTTACCACGATTATCTCACTTACGTTATCAGTGCCCTAAGGTGCGATCTCAAACCATGGACTCAACCTTATCACAATATTCGGTTGACTCAATTGATCTTCAATGTTGAAAATAACACCCTAAGCCAACTGATAAGTTTTTATCGATCGTTCACTGTAGAAACGGGTCCAACATTGGGGGATACTTCGCGTGGTCGTTGTTGGATAACTTTGAGTGGCTGGATGGTTTGAGTAAGCGCTTTGGGCTTTTCTACGTGGATTACAAAAACGGCGGCAAGCGCTTGCCGAAATCTTCTGTGGCCTGGTTTAAGCAGCTATTGCGGAACCGGGACAGGAGTGAGCACTCTACGTGCTAAACCTTTGTGCGAAAATATGGACTGGGGTTCTTAACTACAGTCGGAAGTGCTTAACTTTCTTCACTTGGAGAAAAGTTGCTAAATGTGTGAATATACCACTGAAATGGTGTTTTAGTAAGGTTACGGGTTGACAAGTTTCACAGACGAGCAGTCATAGGGTACTTGACAGAAGATTTACTTGTGAACTAGATATAAATTGAGGTTAATAGTGTTACATCGTCAAGTCCGCTTTTGAGGTTTAAGATTTGTGAATTATTTGATACTCGGTAATGAACAATATCTCCCACAGAACGTTTTGAAGGCTTTTGAAGCTTGTAGATTAATCTTACCACTAAAAAGTAGGTCATGTGTACAGAGTCATAGTTCCACAATGTTCATTTCAAAAAATGGCTTGGATATGATTAAATCTTAACCTCCAATACGAACAAGAACTCCAATAGCTTGAGTATTCTTCAAAACTGCAAAAGAATTTATATCACTATACAAAACTGCACACAGCTTGTGAACTTATCTTGGTCTAATGGACTAACTCTCAGCTCTCCTATCCGCTCCCTCTCTCGAATTACTTTACACCTCAAAACTAAGGTCGTTGGTTATCCGCTACAAATAGGCATAGTAGTTCCATCCCGCATTGGTTCCACTTGGCCGCGTTGACAAAGAGATAAAACCTGTCGTGTCACTCAAAGTAGCAAGTGAGCATGTCCCATGAAAAATGATCACTTGGAATCCACCAATAACCTGTTACATCATCCCTGGCGAGCTTTGTGTCGTTGTTCTCTGAATATCCCTCTAGCTCTGCGAGAAACTCCGTATCATTCCCTACGTTCCGTCCTCTACAGATACGAACAACTTTATATTCTCGGCCTCGCCATTCCCCTTTCCCTTTACGAGAGACACTTGGTGGAGTATCTACAAATTTTGCAAGATGTTTGTGCATGTCATCAGCAGAGAGAGCATGGCCGTCTGGAAGGACATGCTTGGTAGGGTCTGCCCTTCCAACACCATTGCGTATCAATAAATCTTTAGTTAGTTTCATAAGTTCGGATCGAAAAGCCTCCGAATCTTGTCGTGCAGTTGTTGGGGTCCGCTCTACATCACAAGGCGCTCTAGGCGCAACTCTTACTTTTCCGCCGAAGTCGGTATATGCAGAAAGAGCACTATCTACTGCAGCTTCAATATTCGGGCCAGCTCTCACAGTATCAGAAGGCTGATGGTTTTGATTGCCCAACCCCTTCTTGGCAGATAACGCAGGTAACGCAAGAACACAAATTTTGCGCTTAAGGCTTATCACCTCCACAGCTGGTTCTGAGGTGCTCTTGCCGTTTTGACTATCAGGACCAGGCGAAGAATGTTGGGAACGCTTGGTAACATGTCCGGAGGCTTTTCGGGGAGTGCTGTCCACTTTGATGTCCTGGGAGACTTGGAAGGGTTTCCTGTTGTTCCTTTTACCTTCAGAACTTTTTGCCAGTGGCGAAGTAGGGGTATAGAGCCCTTCATCTTCTTGTGGACTTCCTAGCACTCGGAAAATATGAACAAGCAGCACGAAGTGCGCCTTATCAACCAATTCGAACACACACACGTCATACTCTTCGAGACGATGGTCAAGCGAAAACCGTCTCCATCCTGCACTTAAGCCTCCATGAGAAGGCAACCACTTGACAGTCCATCTGTGTCCGCTCTTGTTGGCAAGCGTAATCTCCTTAGATTCTGAAGGCAGCCAATCCTTAGAAAACTGTTTAGGAATCCCCTGAAACGATCACATGGTGCTCGATACGTTAAAAATGCTTTTGCAGTTCGACCATTCATCAAACCATGTGCATAACTAGGTGTTAGGCTCCAGTATTACGACCAGAGCAAACCATATTAGCACTCCAAGACTTGGAGAAGATTTTATACGAGTATAGAACCAAATACCTTCTTCAACCGCAGATTATGTGAAGATAACATATAGTAGTTGGAAATTCAACACTCAAGAATTAGTGGGCAACGCAATTCAATACAACACAGCACAACGTAACACAACTCAACACAGACCAAACAAATAACAACAAGATGGACAAATTTGTGCAGCAGATCAAGGAACTAACCAGGAGAAAACCTTTATACACATGACCTTTGCTCATCACCACCAGAGTGTTGGGTTTCACAAGGTTGAGGGCTCGCGCAGCCTTGAGAGCTACAACTTTCTCCAACTCTGTTATAGGACGTCGTTTGGACATGACTGTTCCGTTGACGAACTTATGTGGGGGCAGGAGCTCTCCTTTATCCACCCTGGCAAACTGCATGATTGAGTGTCGTGAGTCTTCAGATTTTGATGCTTTGGCAATTTCCGCGTCGATATTAGGTGAGCTTATTATCCTACATTCTGATCTAGTCAACTTCGCTAAATTGGTCAGTAGATGTCCAGCAGGTTGAGTGGCGTTCTTCAGGTTGTTGGGTTCTGTCCGCCCCACACAAGGGCTAGTGTCAAGATTTTGTTGATTCTTTCTCTCGACGTTCTTAGTGCTTACCTCCATGGGAGTGTTGATGACATCAGGAGCTCTCCTTTTCAGAACACCAAATCCATCATAAACCTGGATGGAGGCAGAAATCAATGAGCTGAAGACAAAACGCACTGGAAACAAAACTGGGAATTGAATACGACATGTGGGAAGGATAAAAATCGTGCTAAGTAGCTCTCAAAACTACGCAACCGTGACGAAAGACATTGAAAACTCATCATCGAGAAGAGCAAAAAAACAAAACCCTAAAACAATGTATGTCGCAATTCAGTAGAGATAGCGCACCTCCACTTGAAAATAGGACTTTTTTGAGAGAGAAAAACTGAGTTGATCTCCAATCTGTAAACCATGATCCACTGCAAAATTATTCCATCCCTGTCCAAAGCTGATGTTGAAGCCTTCACCATAACCATGCAATTCCACTCTCCATTGCTTACTACTAGGTCCTTCTAGAATAACACTCTCATGGAGACTTCCGATGTAGTCCCTCACGAAAGACGTTGGTAGCTCCAAGGTGCTCATAGTGCTCTCTGTGATCTTCTTCAAGAATGATGGATGGCGATCGGTTTGGTCAGATTTCACTCCTTCAGACCTCCATAACACACAAATGAGGCAAGATTTCGCAGCTTCGCTCTCTTCTGCTCCATGTAGCCTCAAGCAGTTTTTGAGACACAATTCGCAGGCCCTCTCCATTTTATCTGGAAACAGGCTTTGCAATATGCTGGTGCAGCTGTATTGCTCGCTGGACCTCCTCCTAAGAGCACAATTATGGCACAACCTGATCGCTGCAGGCCATGCGTTTCAAGTGCGTCGGGAGTTGCCGATGAGCTTTATAAGTGTCGAATGGTAGAAGACGTGCACACCACTCTTCACAGCCTCTGAATCACGTTCATCAATGTCCATACTTTAATTTCGCAAACACTGAAGAGGATTTTTATTGTTCTCAGAACCAAGGATTAGCATGTTCTGCACCCCAAAGATTCAAAGGGCAAGGATAAAAGAAAAAAAAGGGACGAAATTAATAAAATTTTGTCACAGTAGCAAAGCAAGAATAATAGTTTCATGACTTTTGCACACCGAAAAATTCATCTTTGAAGTAATATTGGTTAACTTCTGTTCACGACAATCAGAATCGCCAGATGATCAAAAACTACGAGGATTCACTGTCCCGAAATCCAAAATCTGAGGTACTTGTCTTCGAATCTCTCTCAACACAAAAACTAAAAGAAGAAGAAAAGTAAGGGCACCTCCTGCCTCTCATCGCGCCTGAAGGCCGATCACAAGTAATACATCGGTACTCAGTGAACAAAACTACCTACAGGCAAATCGTCTTTGAATTGCCACGCCATGAAAACAAGCAGGAAGCAGAACAGCAATACAAAGAATCAAACTCACCAACCACTCACAAAAAGCTTGTAAGTGGAAAGAGAATCAACGAAAACCGACCCACGATACGAAACAACGCCATGCCACGAAAAGATTTTCCCAATACTCACACTAACCCCGCACACGCTTCATTCAAGCTTCAGGTGGACCAAAACCGATCGATCTGTGGAAACCCACCTCGGATGCCACACGACACTTAACGACAGATTCTCGATTGAAAAGCACATCGATCCACAAACCCAACCCCCATGGAACGCAAAGCAGTGACCACGCAGTTCGTTGTGCATTCGAATTACCCCATTGCGCAACCTGCAGCGGCGAGGTGAAGCACAATCGTCGTCACCCGAATCATCAATTTTCCAGCAACGCTGCTGCATCGGAAGAGCGAGAGGCAGCACGCCCCCCTCTTATTAGGCCTCGTCTACGTGCTGGCAACGAACGCTGTTCCGGATGGAACCGTCCACCGCCGTCGCTACTGTTCTGGACGGAATCCGAGGAGTTCTATTCCCACTGCCATCGGTTAGTGGTTCAGCTTCCCAAAGCATCCAAAATTTCATACGACTTGGTATCTGAGTTAAAAACTTAATCCGAAAATTTTGCTTCCATTCCTATCAACACAGACTTCTTTTACCATATTCATAATCTCATTCATTTAACAAGAATAATTATGTTTGTTTGTTTGTTTGTTTGTTTGTTTTTTTTTTTTTTTTTAAATAAAGTTTATATATATATATATATATATATATATATATAAATATATATAAAAAATGTATATAGAGTTTTAAATTTTCTTTTGGCTACATGGTGTGTGGCTAGTTTTTTTTTGAATGCCTAATAGCAACTGGGCCCTCAACCTTCTTATGAATGAGATTATGGTTGTATATTCCAACAAAAAAATACGTAGAAAAATTAGAAAAAATGGTAGAATGTATGTAGTGTTTCAAAAATTGCTTTAATAGTTTGTTGTAATTGAAGAACCTAGTTTTAAATGAAAAAGAGGAATAATAAATAATTTCTTATCTTTATTTTTAATAGTTTATGAAAATTTTAAGAATAGTGGAATAAAATAAATAAATAAATAAATAAAAGGTGGAATTTTTAATGTGGTTACCTCCAACTAATCTATATGTCAATTGAATTGATATTAAGTATATAATTTTAAATTAAATTAAATAAATAAGACTAAAATAAATAAATATATAAATGGTAGTAAAAGGAATAGAGCCAAAAATTGTCAATGGAGAGAAATTAAGCAAAGATTCAATTCCTTAATAAGATGCATTTTAGTGTTGATTTTTCTTATAGATATGATTTTAGAAGCATTTTAAAGATGTTTAAATTACTCAAATTTAAAGATTTGTAATTCATAAAATAGTTATATATATATATATATAATCAATAAATAATCAATTATAATATTATCAAAAAAATTAATAAAACTTTGTGATTATATAGCTAATTAAGTATTATGTTATTATATATAAAATATATTTTATTTTATATTTTATTAAAAAAAATATTTTTATTACTATTATTGTAATAAATATCTACAGTTGTTAATTAAATTTATATAAGAATAAGTAAGTAGGAATGAATAAAAGTAATTAGAAAAATATTAGGTGGATAGTATTTTCTTCAAGAAACATTAAGAATTTTTTTTTAGATGTAGATTGGACCTATAGATGAGAATGTGCCACATAGCTATAAAAATATTTTCTAGAATTTTCTTATCATTTTGCAACCACCAAAATATACTACAACTTGGATGATTAGTCCTCTACCCTTGTATTCTTTATTGAGAATGTTTTAGAGAAAGAAAGAAAAGAGTAGCTAGAAGTAATATGTACACATATGTAAACACACATACACAAGAAGTGAGTTTACTGATAGGATTTTCTCTCTTACACAAAAGGAAGGGGAGAAGATAAACAATTTTTCTCCACTATATTTCAAATACTATAGCTATAGTAAGTACTATAGACTATAATAAATAGTATGGAGAACGTTGGCTACATTGAATGCTTTCAATACTCTTTTTTACTTATCATAATATTTATATGCATAGAATTATGATATATACTTTTTTATAATTTTCTAAGATGTTAAGGGAATCAATGTTAAAGAAAGAGTAATAAAATAGAAATAAGGAAGTACATATATTAAAAGAAAACTAGAATGGCTTATTGCCAAAAGACAAGAAAACTTGAGACTCTTGAAACTAGGCTAGAAGCAAGAAAGGAATTGACAAGAATGAAGAGGGCTTCACTCTTATTTCTATATATACTATCTAACTAGGGGCTACCTGGCGATATCTTATAGGACCTCCAATATGTGTTGACTTTGTAGGACATATGCCTTCACTTACAAGGCAAGTTTTTCTATATGTAGGTCACATAGTTAGCTTGATCTTCAAGCTAACAATATGTGTGGTACATGGCTAATTTGTTGACTACATTTTTAATCCAAAAAGTCAATTAAAGATACCTATAAATTCAAAGTAATATCTATGAAGCTTCTAGGAAGCTTTCATAGAAGATATTATAGAATTAACTTATTTTTACTTATTTCTATTTACTTTTACTTATTTATACAGGTAATTATTGGCTTATATACATATATCCATGACATTACCTCCATTTCTAGGGACAAGTTCCATGAGGAGCGGTCATCATATGTTAAGAAAATCTATGATGCAACGAATTATATTTGTCACATACTCAGATCTTTGTTCTCTTCGAAGATGGTTGATAGGGCCTCTCAACCATCAATAGTGTTCCATACCAAGGCGGAAAGACCACCCTATTATTTGATCATTTTTGAGGCCTTCATAACTTCCTTTACATTTAATATTTGAAATACAATCAAGAGTTGTTCCTACCTCTAATAAAATTATCAAATATTCGGAGTCTCTTCCAAGGTCGTGATACCAAATGCGTTATATCTTACTATCTATTCAAGAAAAAACATGTCATTCTTGAGCATCTTCATCTCGATTGCATCGTCTTAAAGGTTGTGACAATCGCAATGTCTCCTTTGGCAGATCAACAAATGAAGGCTCTTCAGTTGAATCGACTGGTTGTTGGTTCTCCATCTCCTTAACGTCACAACTATAAAGAAGCTACAAACAAAGATTGAAAGTAGAATGTTATCTTGTCTAGATCTTGTTACTTTTATAAGGAAGATTTTCATCTTAATTTTGATGGATGTTGTCAATAAAAAACCTCTATCACTTTTCTTGCATTTACAAGATTCTTTACTAGCTTTCATGTGTGTTCACTAATATTATATCTGTGTCAATGGATAAGATATTCGAATTTATTTTGATGCCATCTTAAATCTAGAACTTCTTCTACTTCAAACTTTTTATTATTGTCCACTTCTATAGGAGGACGTGGAGCTTCTCTTCTTCTTGGTATATCCATTGTCTTGTATGATTCAAGAAGAAACATATGGAATAGTGGATAGATTTTTATTGACTCCAGTAGGTATAAATGATATACAACTGGATTGATTTGTGTAGAAATAGGAAATGGTCTAAGTCTACTATAGTCCAACTTGTTACAAAGATGAGTGGTTTTGATATTGCGACAAAGTAATCATACTTTATTACTCATGTGAAATGGTGGTTGTTCCTTTTGATAGACATTTGTATTGATCTTTTGTTGTTCTTGAGCTTCTTTTAATTGCGCCTTCATTGTTGCATGTACCTCTAATAAATGATTTGTCAAATCTTCTACCATAGGATTACCAGCTTTTGAAAAGTCAAAAGTATCAAGTCATAGATCATAACCCTAATTGGCAAAGAAAGGTGTTTGTTTTATAGAAGAATGTATAGTATTATTATAAGCAAACTCTACCAATGGCAAAAGAGTTGTCCAATCATCTTATTGGTAGTTGATGGTACATTTTAAATACTGCTCCAAAACTTGATTAACACACTTCGTTTGTCTATCATTTTGAGGATAGAATGCTGAAGATAGTTTTATATTAACTTTTAGAATCTTGAAAAGAGTCCATCAAAATCTTAATACAACTGAGTTTCTGTATCCTATATAATATCTTTAGATAATCCATGATAGCGATAGATATTTTCAAGGAAGAGCTTAGTTGTTTCTTCACTTGTGATAGATTTTGTACATTATAAAAAATGTATCATCTTAGTAAAAAGATCTACTAGCACAAATATAGAATCATAAGAACCTGAGATTAGAAGATCCATGATGAAATCCATAGAAACAAAAGACCATGGTTGTTCTGGAATAAGTAATGGTTGAAGAAGTCTGTAAGGTCGATTATGAGGAGTTTTTGATCTTAAACAAACATGGTATAATTGAACAAAGTCTCTCACATCCTTCTATATTTATAGCCACCAAAAATCTCTAGATATAAGCTCCAAAGTCTTGTTGTATCTAAAATATCATGCTAATGGAAAGTTGTAACGTGCTTGAAGAACATGTAATCATGCTTCTCCTTTTGGAACATATAATTGATCTTTGAAATAAAGTAGGATTTTTTTTAACTCAAACTTAGAAGTATCTTGGAACTTAGAGGAAGGATTCTTGATATTGTGAACAAGAAGATCAGAAGACATACTTAATTGGATTTGTTTCATAAGGTTCAAATCAACAGTCAACATTGATTTCATTACTCGAAGATGAAAATGCTCTGGCTTTAAGAGAATTATTCTTTGTTAATTAAAAGATGCATTTCTTTCTTTTGGTATAAGATAAGAAGTCTAGAGAAGGCGTCTGACAAACCTTGTTGTTTTTCGAGTCGATATGTGATCTTGAAATCAAATCTTGATATAGACATGCTTCAATGGACTTAGCGACAATTTAAAACATGTGCTAAAATGAAATACTCAAGTTTCTTATGATCCGTATATACGGTGACTGGATTAGAAGCGCATTCTAGATGATGACACCATTCTTGAAATGAATCCATGATTTCAAGAAGCTCTTTGTTATGGATTTCATAATTAATCTTGGCTATTGAAAAAATTTTGGAATGAAAAGCTATTGGGTGAATTTTATCATGTACTTGCATTTATAATAATACAACATCCAAAGTAAGTCTGATGCATCTGTTTTTATAAAAAATGCCTTAGAAAAGTTGATGCAATAGAAGATTGATGCAAAAATAAAGGCTAACTTTAAAGTTTTAAAAGTTGCTTCAGCTTCTTTACTCCACTCAAGTTTGTCTTTGCAAGTCAAACGTATAAGTAGAGCTGCAACTCGAGAAAAGTTTTTGATAAAAATTTGATAATAGTTGGCAAAGCCTAAAAAGCATTGGACATCTTGTATCATTTTTGGAATCTTACAATCCATAATTGTTTGAACTTTCTTAAGATCCATCATTTGAAATGATATATATCATAAGA